AATTGCACAATGTTTAGCTATATTTGCGAATGTGAGCATAAGCAAGTAACCTGCCTTGTGTAAAGGAGTGTTAAAAGAGCTGAATAATGTTGTGATCGAAATGGAAGCGTTGGTTGTAAAACTCTTGGTACTTACATTTGTAAGTAGGCATTCTTGTCTGAATATTCGTTGCTGTAAAAATGCTAGATTTACTGATAAAGAGCCGTATGAATAAAATAATTAAAAGCTGTTAATAAGACATGGCTGCCCGAAAAATTCTAGTATATTAACTCAAGCGTCTGCGGGATTCAACATTTGCACTTATGTGGGACATGAAATGAACGTTACAAAATATCGTAATTTACTTAAGGGTATTCTGTTTCAGTAGAAACCAAAGTATGCGGAGACCATCCGACGAGTAATTTTATCTCACACCTAGGGAATTGCAAAACATTCGTATTAGGTAAAACAAATTATCAAGCTTAAACATATATTCTGTTAATTAGACTATTGGCTTAAAAGCTGGAACTGCGTTTCAAACCAAATAAGTGCAAGAACGTCCATCTAATCGACATCAAATAAGTAATTTATCTTACAGTAGCGCAGAAAGAGAATAAATAATTTATGCAATAACTTTAAAGTGGCACAGTTTTTTTAAAAGTTTAAGTGTATGCATCAGACTCTGCATCGCCTAAATTTATAGCATCTCTAATGCTTAGATAAAATTCGTTTTAGTTGACAGCTCAAAAAAACCTGTTACCTATATGTTCCTGCGCCAGGGTACTCAAGCTCAGCAAAATAAAAAATGCGACGGCAGTGAGGCGCATACACAGATCAAAATCTTTTGCGCAGTTGTGAAATATTTATCCAGGGTATTATAATAAGATTAATGCGGCCATATATCTTAATAATGACCACTTTAAAATGACTATCGGCCTGTTGCCCCAGAGCTTCTTAGAAGGGGAGTTTCCTGTATGGGAAAGTTATATAACGTTCATTGTCTACCTTTGAGAGCAGGTCCTTATGTACTTTACGATAACAATGGAAACTGAAGCTGACTTCAGCAGAATTAATATTTCAGAAGCATAATCAATCAGACTTCACTGAGATTTTGGCCCCTTGATGTCCTGATATTGAAATAGGTATATTTGTATTGAAAAAATGGTCTTCTTATAGCTCTATTTGAAATAAATATTCGTGCTCCTTTATGAAAATACAACTGAACTGAACTGAACTCTGTTTGCTCTCATGCGTAGTCAAAACACTGACGTCGGCAATTTCTTTTGTTGAAACGTTGCAGAAGTAAGTGCAAATTTTCATAATTACTCGTACAAGTGCGTTAGCCAGGTGGCTTAGCAACCGCGATCGCGACTATTGGGGCTAGAGGTTCACTTGTAAGAGTGGTGGCGGGGTCGCCATTCATATCTTGTTTGGTGCGTGCTTACAGATAAATGCAGACTTCTTGCAAGTTCCTATCAGAAATAAAGATAATAATTATAACCCCAAAAGTGTCAAATATATCATTCGCGAAATACAACTTTACTAATATCTGTTTTTTTAACAACATTGGCTAAACATATTTTAGGCTATAATCAGTCTATTCAACGCTCTTTAATCACAGAAAATATCTCTGTCACGCATGGCCAGTCGTTGAAAAGTCATTGAAGCTGCTACTGAAATCTTCACGACAGCATTTAAACACTTTTACTCTGAGAAAATGTCACCTCTGCAAAAGCTACGCTTTTGTCTTCCTTATGCAGTCTGAATAATGGTAGACGCCAAATGGTAGCGTTAAAGCTATGTTTTTGGCTAGTTATTAAGTGAAATATGGCGTCTATGACAGGAAAGACAATTATTGCCGTCAGATTTTGCATGTTAAAATATTTTTTTTTGCAAAAGCATTGCACGTGTGACCATTGGGAGGAAATGTGTACCAGAATCTACGTGAAGTACAACAACGCACTATGACAAATAACAGTCCGGTTAGGATTGAGTATTCCGATTCATGTGTGGAAATTGACACATGGCTTAATTGGGAAAATTGTGAGAGGACAAAGACATGCACGATGCGAACAGACATCCGCCTAGAAAAAAGGTCGCTCAGGCTGAGTTTAAGATGCCCTTTTTCAGCCATAAATGGCAAAAGATAATTTTAGCTAATGAATACCTAACCGCGGTAGGTTCTACATTTGAGAAGAATAAACAAGGTGAGCCCTCCGGATTAAACCTTCTTGTTTGGTTTAGTATTTTATAGTCGTGGAAATGTCCCTCCATATGTTAAATTTTAGATTTGTTGCGTTCTTATTATTAAAAGTCGTCTTCATTTTTGCTTATCGCGGCTTCCTTAATTGTTAAATATCAATCTTAAGTACGCTATTAAATTGAACTCTAGAAGTTCCCGGAAAATTTACCTATTCATATTTTTTTCCTACACAACGTTCGTTGGTAGTCCGCGGTAAGGCTTTGTCCTTAACCAACCAATCATTCCAGCTTTAGGCTACCTTATACCTTACAATGACTAAGATAGCTTATATATCTTATATTTGCCTTCCATTTTTAATGTCATATGATTGCTGTCAACTAATTTTCTGCCAATTGACATAAGAGTTCATTCATCAAATTACTTAAGAAACTTCTCGGAATCGCTGACTTATTTCAGAAATCATAACCGACCTCCCTAAACGCTTATCTGATAAAGCAGGATTACTTTACCGGTTTACAGCGTAATCCGATGATACTAACGACGCAAGAGAGTACTGACTTTTAAATGCATTTGCTTTTGGCCGACTCGGCCGATAATGTCTGTTAGGGACTAGCATAAAACAAGACTATCAATCCCATTTTACGATTCTGTTATAAAAATATCGTCGAATGTTAAGTGTTAAAGAGCTTTTTTATTTTAAAAACCTTGCTAGCCCTAATTATTTTCAGCGCATTAAGTATTTAACAATTGCTATCTGTAGACAGTACACTTCAAGAACATATATTTTAGGACATTTTAACATATAAGTCGTCCATTGCATAACAAAACTAAACGGTGTTTGAGTAGAGTTTAATTCTTCCATTCACTATACCGATATCTAATGCAAACAAAGTGACTAAATCAGACTCTCTAAGCCTAAAAGATCAGTTTAAACTTCTACTGCTTTCAGACTTGGTCTCTGATGACCAATCGGCGACGGATCTCGAAATATGAGGCTAATAAAAGTATTCTCATAGCGACCTAGTCGTCTTCTTCTCATTTCAATCATCTTATTTGATAGGATTATGAAATTATGTATTCTTTGCATTTGCAGAATTAAATGTCGCAGTGTCCAAAAACTACAGAAATTTTGCAAACAGCAGCATATAATATTAACGCCCCAGAGGTGTGTCGGCAAAGATTTTTCGAAGACAAGGCATTAGACAAAATTCAGACGTAAATGGTGCAAAGTGAAGTCATAGTTACCGTGCTCTGTAGCCTACAGAAAGCGTTAGCGAAATGAACCGACTTTTTCACAGAGTAATAACTAATTTTCTAGAATAGTTTGAAAACGCGTATGCTGCAGTCTAAATCACGCGGCGTCTTCAGATAAAGTTTTAATTTGTCCGATCAATTATGGAATTGGATCTCCACATAAATGTTATTTTGGCCCATAACACACATTATGTAATTCAGCTATGTTCCATTTCTAATGCTGGTATTTATTTTTGCGGTCCATCTGTATCAGTATTTCCATCCCATTCTTTTAGAATAAGACGAAATCCTTATAGTCCTAAGGAATGCCAAAGCAGCCAACCAATAGCGTCATGGCTTCATTTCCTATCTGGCGTTTTTTTCCGTATCCGCAGACGTGATTTGAGATTTGCGCCTTCCGAGCCCAGAAAGTTGTCCTCTTTACTTTTTTACCACATTTTGTGTTAATACAAGGCACGTTATGCGAATCATTATACTTAAAGTACAGAAGGGAAGCTTTTGTCCAGTCCAAAATGCTAATGCTAGAACCAGTGACAGGCTGTTTTGCAAATAATACTACTGAGAGCTAGTATGCCCCAGTACAGGAAAAAATTAATATCTGATTTTAGGTTACTCCTGTATTTTCTGTGCATTTTTTTTACGACAAGCACCTGCCACGAAAGAACCTGAAGTAAAGAAAAGTTAGGAACTCTTTCTGCGTTTGAAGTTTTTTCCAGGTATATTTGTTTATTCCAGTTTCTGAAAATCCAAATATACAGTTTATTTCGAGCTGCGTTTCTTCCTGATTTTGGGAAGACAGACTTTAGGAATATATCTTCGGCAACCGAATTCGTTTAACGTCTTTTGAAACCAATATTGCTTAACAAAATGTCTGCCACGGACTTGACGATTTAGGGTTGATTATCATTAATATGAATGTTAATTATTTAATGCAAGCGCCTATCTATTTAGATTTAGAACACATTGCATTTTACAGTAAACATGCCTTCAATATAAAGACACATTTTCATTAACAACATATATATATATATATATACTGTGCTAAATTAAATATTTTCTTTTAGAAATATTCTGATGTTAGCGAAAGCTATAAATATATTATGTACAGGAAAGATCTTCATGTATACACGAAGAATTATTTCAATAAGCAACTATTTAACCACTAATGCTACTGCATGTCTAAAGCCCAAACTTTTGGTTCGTCCAAATGCTTCTTATCCGAATAACCTTAGCCACCAATCAGATGCGCAGACAGGCATCAGTGGCTTTCCGAAAAGACGTTTGGCTCATTCTCCAGCCAATCGAATGCGCAGTCGAATGTATCCATTCATTTTAAGATCTGTTTGGGTAACACCATGAAAATCGCGATGGCATATTACGCGTGGGAAAAAGTAACAGTCTATAGTAGTTTACGCTTATTTCCTGTTGCATCAATCTACTACTAAATATCGTATGATCAAATAGAAGTATACACTGTTCGCCCGCCTCAGTAATTCACAGTTTATGGGCTACTATGCCGCTGCGTCCAAGGCGACGATCAGACCGTACAGGCCCGGTTTTACTTATGGCTCTTTTACTGGATACTTTTCTTGCGTTCCACAACACAGCTGGCCAAGTTTCAACCGAAAAGGCCTACAGCGGTAAGCAAGAACTTTGCATTTACATAACAGCATCGACATAAATGGGCATATTTTGAAATATTTCCTATAACCAACTCGAGTTTTGCATTTGGAGCATGGAACAGACCAATTCAAAAAAAGACAAAAAAATGTATAGAGGCTAACACAATAACAACTATCAAGTTTAAGAAAACAAATATTAGGTAGTTGCTACGAACTAACGATTTATAGGGTGAGAGATCTGTTATGACTGCCAAAAGGGTCAGCTTTTCAAAATAAGCTTAATCCAGGGTAATTTCAAGACACAATTATAAGCACCCCTAACGGCAAAAAATGTTTATTCTTTTTCTGTGAACTTTGTATTTTATCCATTGCACACTTGATACTTAAACGTGTTCTGTGCTTCATAAATACTGCAAGACGTTTCTGCATGTTGCTCATAGGCGTTTGCTGAAGCACTGCTAAGCAGAGCTCGTGATCACTGTTTTTGTAATCACTAATTATCTGGAAGTTTTTAATATTTGCCTCAATTTGGAAAAGCGAGGCTCATTTGTGTCAGCTTTTGATTGTCTCACAACATCTGTCTGACGCACAATATGAAGTTAGTCAAACGATTTGATGACGTGCTAGTATCGCGAACCATGAATTGCAAATAGACGCCCTGCAACTTTGCGACTATTTTACCAGCAAAATTCTTATTTCTGTTACCTAAAAGAAAATGCGAAAATCAGGATATTGGTTGCCAAAACACTGTAAATTACCTGACGCAGATAAGGAGTAGTAGTATAGTTGTGCATCTCCTTTAACTTACTTTTTTTTAATTATCATACAAAAATTGAGAACGGTGTTGTTTGTTCTTGCATTCTCTAGAACCAAGTCCTCCAGACATGATATTCAGCGGTAGCAGTTGGCTTAAATATCATCCAACGCCAGGCATACGAGTGGAAACATTTGCGCTTATGATACGTTTCAAAACGGCCACAACGGATGGCATCATTGTTTTTGCTGGTGAGAATATGTTAGATGCCCTTTAATCCAATTACGCATTTCCTGTACAGCAACAGTAGCTTATGTAGGTCCACTCATTACTCCCTACTCCCTGCATGTTTTCCTACGAAAACGGTGGTTATAGGGTTTTAGGAATTGGAAATTGGTGCACGCAGTGATATATACTCTAATAAATGCTAAATGGTTTCTAATTAACTGTATGTAGAAGTGTTGTTGATTTATAGCTGTAGATTTTCCTGCTCTGTATTCTCGTTTAACATATTGCGGAAAAATCCCATTATCAAATTGTAGGTTTCTTGAATTTCACAAAAAATTAAAATGGTGGTTAGGAGGTTGTCTACTTCAACTTACCTGAGGTCCAACTTACCGTTCTGGAGTATGATTAGCATAGTCCGCGGCGCGAACTGCCGCACACCCCTTCAAGTTACATGCGGAACAGCTTACTCCCGGCGGCCGCAAGAAGCAACTTCGACTACATTTGTTTCAATTTACACTTACTCTTAAAAGTTTCCTTCTCCATCTATCCTATTTCCCCGCCCCCAAAACTCTATAACCACCGTTTCTGCAGGACAAAATGCTGGGACTGGGGGTATATGAGTGGACGTACATAAGTTACTTTTGCCTCCTGTACTATTAGTTTGCTTTGCCGTTGAAGTGCATATATCAGAAACGTCATGGAAAATGCTGAGCAGTGTATATGTATCCAATGCTGCTGAAGTGCATCTACATAAACAATGCTGAGTTTTATATAATAGAGCTGACCTCTGCTTCAGATATACAACGAAGCAACAGGCGCGTTGATGAGATACAAGCACAACATATTAGCTAGTGCCTATGTCGGTCAGGCGATAAAAATGTTGCCGTCTACATTTTAATCGTGAGTTGTTTGATAATTTGAAAAAAATATATACACATTATCTTCATACGATTATAGAATATATTTGCATAGGTCACAACGTTGACTGAAGACCTGCTAAGTAGCTTTTTAAGACCAACGTATGTTATCGACTTAATTAAAAAAGTGTATGCATCCAATACCAATATTTTTTATCAAAGCAACATAATTTGACTGAAATGTTTATTCTGGTTCGTGTGAAAAACGACGTTTTGCCCGTCTATCCTTGTAGAAGTTGACTCAGCCAAGTTAGACTCGGCGAATTTATCAGTTTATCTCTACAATGGCTCGTTAATCCTTTCCTTATGGTCAACGGAGGCCAATGCGTTTGGAACATTCCAACAACACTTCCCCTGCCAATCAGCATCTGCAACCTGCGCAGACGGCAGGTGGCATGACATCAACGTATCATCTGCATTCTCCTTGGTGAGTGTTTGCTCTCTCTCTCTCTAAAACCAGAAGGGTGACAGCTGCGATGAAAGAGTTAGATAAGGGAAAAAATGCCTATAAATTACATAAGAACAACGAGAACAAATGTCAGTGTCTTGAAGTATGAAATAGGTGATGCTTTTTTTCACCTGTGGCTTATAAGTGGAATTGAGTTTGATTAATTCTACACTAGCGAGAGGGTTTATTATACGACAGGAAAAGCGTTCAGGGTATTCAATTCTACGCTTGAAACTCCAAATAAAAGAAGTCACTTTCATGTGCGTAACTATTCCCAAGACATCTGGACTTGGGAATGCTTACTCAGCCTATTCTGTAGTTAAAGGATCTTGCGCAAAAACAAAAAAATCGTGGTGTACTTCTAACAAATACCCACCTGAAATGTGCATAAAGCTAAATTAGGTAAAAATACAAAGTCCTCTTATGTGATCTAATAAATTACTATAGCTAAAACACTAACTTACGAAGATTACCGATAGTTTGTGTGCTTTAAAATTCCTGCAGCACCAGTAACTGTGGACTTCAAATTCTCAAAATGTCACCGTCTGTATTCTATGAACCACTATCGCGCTCAGTAAATAATATCAGACAAGATAAGAGTTATGTCTAATAGAGCTCTATTTTGTTTTGTAGCTACAAATTGATGTGGACCAGAGTTCGGCTTCCGAACCTCTACCAAAAGCTTTTCATGGTCTGCGCATGAAAATGCTACTCCTTGGTGGTCATCCGGAAGGAGCTTTCACACCGGGAATTCCCCGGAACATCTCCAACTTCACTGGCTGTTTGCAACATGTAGGTTTTGATCAATCTGCCGTCTGTTTGGCTAAAGAGTACCTAAAGTGTTAATCTAGTTGAATTATTTAAAGTTTTTGCTGTTACCGGATTAAAATATAGTCTTCGTAAAGGTTTGATAGTGCTTATGCCCCGAGCAAAATTTAACCGGAAATCCAAAAATGAGTTTAACCTCATATTTATAGACTTTCTGTTTATTGCTTGACTACGATCTACGTTCGCCGTTTATGCTTATCGAGGTTGTGATCGTTTCCTACATGGCATTGTGTTTGTGCCAGACATTTGTATGGCTTCATGGCTTAAAAGTATGCTTCCTACAAACATTTTGTCGGCCGATATGATCGTGAGTTTCGACCCATTGTGAACGCTTGATGGAAGCCAGATAACAGTTATGTTAAATAGAATAGTATTGAACAAGTATTGCACACGTCAAATTAATGTTACCTATTTGTTAAAACAGAAAGTTTCTCAAGTGAACGCACAGTAGAAGCCAAAAACAAAATATTTTTTGCGTGCCTCATTCCTCTAGTCGGGAATAATTAGATAAAATGGCTCCTGCACTATTAAATCTGCATCCGTATGCCGTATTACTAAGTAAACAGAGAAAGTCGTATCTATATAATTTATCTGCCTGATGTTACTGCTGTGCGCAGAAGCAGATAGTTAACGTAATATAGGCCTTTCTTGAAAAGTATGCATATGACGGGAGAAATGGATTCCGCTTATTGTAAATAACGTAAGTTGATCTCTATAATGATTAAATATTTTTATATCTACGGCATTC